GATGACTACTGTGAGATATTGTAATTCTGTACAAATATCTGAGGCAATTTAGGAATTTTTGTTTTATTTGTTGTGATAAAAATTTTTTTTCATTTTCCATCAGACTTGTGCATTCATTTCATAACGAACCCATACGCACGCAGCAATTTTTGGTGTCAGAAGTGGGTTTGAATGCCAATAACAAGAGCAATGGAAGAACAATTAAAGCAGTTTATATCAGCCTTTGCCTCGTCTAAAGAAGAAATGAAAGGGGAGATGAGATCTGGTCAAGAATCAGTTAAAGAGGAGATGAAGTGAGTTCAAGGAAAGATTAAAACAGGTCAAGAGGAAATCAAAAGAGAAATTACCTGCATAATAGAATAAATTTGATTGTATAGAAGGCAGAATAGACTCTGTTGAAAATAAAGTTGGAGAAATTCAAGAAAGAGTTTCTTCTGTGAAGTGACAAACAGAAGAGAGAGTTTCTACTGTGGAGCAACGAATCAAACAAAGAGTTTTGGCCATCCAACATCGAATTGAACAACAAATTGAAGAAAAAGTATGTGTCGTCCAAGAACATATCGAGCAACAAATTGATGACAGGGTTTCTGAAGTTGCCAAAGAAGTTGATAATTTAAAGAAATTCGTAGTGACGGCAGGGAGCAATTCGCATGGCTTTAAATTTTTATCCATGCCTGCTTGTCCCTAACTGAAGCTATACACGTATGATAGGAAGACTTTCTGGCATGTATACAAGACACAATTTTCTATAGTTGCGGATGCGAATGGATGGGATTCCCAAACTAAGGCCTGTCATCTCACCGCTCCTTTGAGAGCAGATGCAGTGGATACCCTTCAGACTCTTCCCGAAAACCAAAGGCTAGATTTCGAAGCTCTATCCCGCGCATTACAGCTGCACTTTGGGGGAAAATGTTTGAAGACTACAGCAGGCTTCAATTAAAATCCTGTCAATAGAAGCCCACCGAAACACTTCAGGAGCTTGCCACGGATGTAGAAAGGCTGTCCCATCTCGCCTTTTCGGAGTGCCTGACAGAAACAAGGGAAATCAGTCCCTGCAATACTTCATCGACGGCATCCAGGATCATGAAATACAGAAAGCTCTGCAAATGTGAAGGACATAAAAAGTGCTCTGCTGTACGCAATGACATTTGAGGCAGCCCAGCAAGCAACTCGTACAGATCGCTACTCAGTCAGAGCTGTGCGAGTCAATGAGCCAGTGGATGAATTGATGGCTCGTTAAGATGATTTATCCAGACAAGTCAATGCTTTGATATGGAGTAGGAGTGAGAACAAAATGGCTATAAGGTGTTGGAAATGTGGTACTGTAGAGCACATATGATGGCATTGCAGAACACCCCAGGGCATGGATAATAAAACGGATGAGTTGACAAGACCAGTGAATGCCTTGAGACATAATGGTGAGAAGAAACCAACCCTAAAGTGCTGGAACTGCGGTGCTGAAGGCCACGTGCAAAAGAACTGCAGAATGCCTTAGAGCACGAAAATAGAGACCAGTTCTCAGAAACGATGCGAGAAATCAATTAATGACCATATCGAGGAACGGAGGTTGCCAGACAATGAAAAACCTTGTTTTAAAGTGCACAAGATTTCTACAGTGAGTGGCAACAGTAATGGATTGTCCATTAATGGGCATATCGATGGAGTTCCTTGCAATATGATCGTTGACACAGGAGCTAATGTTACCATCATTCGGAGAGATTTAGTTGAACAGTTTAAAGATAAACTTATTTGGACGCCATCCTGTGTTACCCTTCAGACTGCATCTGGTGATAAGATCGACATAGCTGGGAAGTTAAACGTGAGCATCACGTTTGGAAGTCCGCTTACCATCACACGGCTTATGTAGCGGATATTACAGATCCATACATACTCGGATTAGACTTTTTAAGGAAATACAATTTTTCCTATCCATCCTCAGAAGGGATCCTACCTGGAAATGCTGATGCCTTGTCTGAAAGACCCAGCTCAGAAAGCTGCCGAAATCATACTAGGGTCGAAAAGAATCACAAGACTACCAGCTATTCTCCATCCCAGATGCTCTTCGATCGAGACCTTCTTCTGTCTTGTGACCGCCTGTCTGGTCGCCCTACAGATGCACCTTCATTGCCTGAGGAATACATCCAAGATGTCCAGGCCCGGTTTGAAGTCATGCACCGTTCCGCATGAGAACGAGTCAACTTGGCGACGGAGAAGGTGAAGACCAGATACGACACAAGAGCTATTATCACAAGAGCTATAATCAGACAAGTAAAGGGATGTCTGATTTTTATCAAATGCATGATCATAATTATAATAAACAGAGTATTATTTTTGATGTATTAAAAATGTCTGCTTATATTTTTTACCACTACTTTGTTCATTTTATTACGCTGAAAACAAATGTTTCTATTTTCTGATTAAGTGGCTAGCTGTACAGTTTTGATAATAAATCTGAAAATTTTACTTCTTCATTTTATTTATTTATTATTATTTTTTATGCATGAAATGAAAATATTACTGCAAAGTTTCTCAAAAGGTATTTTCAATGCTGTCCCTAAGACTAATTCTATGTATGTTTCAATATTAAAAAAATGAGGGAGATGTTATTTATTGAAAGAACAAAATAAATTATTTTTATAGGTATAATGGCATATTGCTTAAGCCTCTTTTAGTTCTTGAACTAAAATGTAAATCACTTAAAGACACTCACTAAAAAAAAAATGCTTCCTATCCTTAATTGTTATCATTTCAAAGGAGACTAAATGTCTCTATCAAGAAATGTGTGAAAGAAAGCCTTAATCTTCATTCTAAAAAATTTCTTTCATTTTTAAAGAGAGTTTTTCTTTCTACTCGTCATATCCTCCCCCCATTTCTCAACATGACATTGTAGAAACAGGCTAAAGAGTACATTTGCCTTCAGGCCCCAGCATGTGGTGCTTGAATTTTATCTTCAGAGTGCTGAGTCATTTAAAATTTTTTTTAATGCTACCTGTGGATTTCCAAAATCCAGTTTTAAATTATATTTGAAATAGCCTGCAATATTATTCATAAGGATATAATTATAGTCACAATGTGGTTTTCTTTATATTCTTCTTGTTGTACAAATAAAGACTATAATTGACTAAAATGATTGCTAAATGTAACAATTTAATCATGCATAACATTTAAATGTTGAATACAAACACTAGTCAGACTATGTACTATTGTTGTAGTGCAAGTAAGATAATAGCAATAAAAATGTAATTTCTGCAGCTAAACTTATTATTAACACTTCACTAAAACACAATGGAAACTCGAAAGATACAATGACATTCAAATGAATTAAATGAAGCTCTAAGCATGCATCATAAAATGTTTAAAACCGAAATATATACTATCATTTTCACACATTTGTTTATTACTTTTGCTAGGCATAGATATTTTGTTCTCTACGTAAAAGGGAAAGCTTAAAAACTGCATACCTGGTGCTTAATCTTTTATTAATTTTTATTTAGCTCATTAATTAACTTATATTTTCCAATACTTGAGAGTTTTTACTCAAGTTATATGCTCATATATATTTTGAAAGGAAGAATGTCTGAAAGATTCTGCTGAACGAAAAAGTCTTTCCTTTTTTATTTATTTATTTACTTTTTGACAATTAAGACATTAAAAAAAGTATCAAATTTCCAAAACGTTTCAACGAATTTGAAAACATTTATTGGTATCATACTACTGCAATGGTAATTCCATCTAAGAGACCAAATTTGAATTATGCGCAAGCTCCTGTTAATGAATTGCTCTTAGAAGCAAACCTTAAAAACTGAAGAAACCTTTCATTCTAAGCAAAAGCTATTTGGAACTTTTGTACTCATTTAATACAGAGCAAAATTATTCAAAAAACAGCACCAGAACTACACACTTTTTTCCACTGGATCATCTGCAACACAGCAAATGAAGTGGCCACAATTTTTATTTTGTCAATTTTTATTATGAAATTCATGTACAGAAAAGAATAATACCACTTTTTCAGGGTAAGGAAAGATTTAAACCTGATGCATTTTTTAAAAATAATAAATCAGTTTATAAAGATCTCTATGTATTGTAGATGATGTACCTCTAAAAACAGAGAATGTATTACAATGATTAATTGAAATTTTAACAAATTTCTAAATACATGCAAAATACACAATTGCAAATTCCTGAATAACCTTCATGTACATGACTGTTCAATGACTTTTCAAACTCCTTATGACCTCTAACTGTACACTCTTGTTCCCCAGGAAAAGAGCTATACCTATTCATCTTTATAAAATAATTATATTTCTCTTAATATCTTTGTTCAAGCACTTGCTATTTTCTTCTCTCAAGAATGACCTGTTGCTTAAAGTCATAATCTGTGTTGAAAGCACTTTCATGAGATGAAAAGACATTGTACACCTATCACAAGCAGTAACCAAATAACTGAAACTGCTGAAGCCAATGTCATTATAAGATCCTGTTCCACGTGAACGAAGCAAGCAAAGTAGCTCTAGGAAAATGTACTCTCACCCTCATAAATGTTAAGTTAAAAATATACCTACTATACTTTTTTTTAAAAGCTAACACTATTCTCAAAATTTTGGTTACAACTGACTTAAAGTATCAATTATTAGCACTACTTTTCTTTGGGTTTTGCAGTATTCTAGTTAAACTGGAAGCCGTTTGTATTGATGGTTAGCAACAAAAATGGGACCACAATCCTGCTTTAAGCAATCAGAGACATGAGCATAAAAATGCAAAACTTTTGGATCTTGAGATTTTCCAGATTTTAGATTTCGTTCAAATTAACGTAAATACAAAATTAATGAGACTTTACAGTATTAAGAAAACATTTAATACATAAATTGTATTTACTATGGATTAAATAAAAACAAAAATATTTCTTTGAACAAAAGTTATTTTTATTCATATGTTGTGATTAAACAGTCCACTTTACTAAAAAACATAATATGGAATTTGCAAAAAAAAATAATACTTACAATAAATGATTTATCACCTTGTTCAGAAAATGTTGAAACTATGAAAAGAAAATTTCAAACAGTTGAAAATTTAGTCAAAACATCATAAGGAAGCAGCAGTTTTTAGTGCTTAGAATTTCAAACTATTTGGTACTGTTGGCTGAAACAGAATTCACTTTCTAGGTGTAGTTTGTTAATGAGATTTTTTTGAATACATTAAAGTAATTATAAAATAATAATAATAATAATAATAATAATAATAATAATAAAATATAAAAATATCCCAAAACTTTTTTTTTTCAAGCAAGTACGTTGTTTGTTTAATTGATTATAGCAAAGCAAATGAGTGCTACCAGCTTATATGGAGGAATGCCATCACGGAGGACTTTCTATGGGCTGCCTGAGTGATTTTAATTATGGCAAATACTGCAAGGTTTTTGCCAAGCAGGGACATTTTCATAAAGAACTATTCATGGAAAAACTATGAAAACAGCAATGCAAACAACTCATTCCTCATGACACAAATTTATGCCGAATTACATGTTTTCAGCAGTTTTATCCACCCAGACACAAAGGGCTATTTTTCTAAAGGAAATCAGCTTGGATTCATGCTCAACATTAAAATATCATGAAAAATGCCCATACTGCCAGCCCTTTCCTCAACATTCAAACCATGGTAAACTAACCGTGACTGTTTTACCCACTTGCCCAACAGTGGGCTTCCCTTCTTTTTAAATAAATCATATGCTACTGCACAATTTAGTTCAACCACAGGTACTGAAAACCCATAAATTCATGTTTTCCAAATGGTGCACTCCAGCATAATAGAGTGCTCATAAAAGAAGGAACACATAGAAGTATGTTTCACTAATCAGAAATGAGAGTTGTAAATATTTATTAAATCTGATAACAGATCGCATTGAGCGTCTCACAAATCACATCAAACACTATTTTAGCTGAAACAACTTTCATTACACATCAAATGTGGATATGTTTTAATAATTCATTATTTTAACAGATACAACTTATTATCTATCAAGACATTTTTGTGAGGAGAACATTAAGTTATAGCCTGTTTCACTGAAATTTTGTATAAAAATATACAGTTACAAATCTCATGGTCTTAAGTATTTTCTTATGTTTAATGGTGAAAATAACTCTGAGGTAACTCATACACCATAACACATCCCACCAATGAATTTATACCATAAATTTTAGTTCCACAAATGAATATCTTAAGCCACATTCAGACTCGTGAAATGCAGGATATAGGGCAAAATAAGACTTTTATTTTGAATACTGATAATATGACTCTTATATTCTCGCCAAAGAAGCAAATTGGGGAACAGATATCAGCTATCATGCTAATAAAAATTTATTTCAATCGTCAATAAACTGCCCTTCTCATGCCAGATGAGAGTATTTACGTGTATTCCTCAATGGGATACTATTTAACAATTTAAGAAAAATGTTTATCATTATTACTTTCATTGCATTGCTTTTATATTTTCTAAGAGATTTAAAAATATATTTCATATAGAAATGACTCCTTATTTCTTGATGTCTAACATTAATAGTTAATATTACAGTTCAAACTCTAAATTTAAGGAAATATTTGAAAGTATCAGTAACATACTTAAACAAATGTTTTAATTTGCATATTAGCTACATATACTACAGTTGGATAAAATCTTTTACTGCTTCAAGACAGCTGTTTTATTTATTAGCAGACCAATATTACTTATATTCAGTTTAAATAAGGAACAGTGGTGAGTTGTAGGGGGCTTGTGTGAGCCCTTTGTTAAATTTGTCTAAAATTTATTTTTTTGTTTATTTATTCCAAGAAACACACATATTTTGCCATATCATAATCATGCATTGATTATGTTAGTCTTTTTTTCCTCGGAGAATCAGGATCTGAACTGGCTTCATTTAAGTTTGCTAAAGCATGCTGTAGATATCCTAATTTATATAGGTGTTGGAAAATATCTGTTTTTAATAAATTTATTGTTGAGTATCAAATTACTTAACACTGAGAAGTTCTGCTGAAGTCCTGCTGTTTAGTTTTTCATTAAAAGATGGAAGATACAAACCGTTCTTCTTCGGCTGTAAAACATATTTCAGATTTAATGGCAATCTCCTTCAGACGGTAATCTTTAACAGAATTTAACCCTAAATTTTATGTAAAAGTTAATTTGAAAAATCATATCTCAACTGTGATAACTCGAAAGAGAATTCATGTAAATGAGGAAAAAAGTAAAGTGCAGTATAGCAGACATAACACACAATTAAATTTAATCATTATTTTACATTATTTCTATAATTTTTTTTTAAAGATAAATTTTATTTAAAAATATTTTTAATGAAAAATTACTGGCATCTGCTATTTTTGATTTTTATTTGAGTATCCATGAGAGAATGTACTATATTGATTTATGGAGTTTTACCTTTCCTGCCACCTTTCTTGAACATCGATGCTGACATCATGTTCTGATTTCCCTCTCTAGCACATGCCTGCTAAGAACATCAACTCTGCCACGGCTGTCAAAAATTACTTTTCCCTTCTGTTTTCATATTTTCGCTAGTTTGTGCATACATTCTCTTCATCGCCGAAATTAATATCATTATAATGCTATGTATATATTTTGATTTATTAAAAAAAAATTATTCTGTACAAATTGGTGTTTAACAATCATTTAAAAACCTCCAAACTGGTGACTATACTGTAGATGTGAGAAGAATGAGATTTTAATAGTCTGAACATGTCTATAATCAACAATAATATTGTTTCAGTGCAAGCACCTGAAATCAAGAGAATTTCTGTTAAAGTGACACCATTCTGGAAAGATAATTAGAGAGTATGGTTTCAACAAATTGAAAGCCAGAGATGGGATAACTTCCAATGCAACAAAATATCATATTATGGTGGGCCACATCAAGATTAGAGATCTTAAGTCAGGTAAGTGGCATAATTGATTCTCCTCCAGTTATTGATTCATATGACACTCTTAAAAAAGATTAATTGAAATTTTTTCCTGGCTTTAAAGATCAAAAATTTTAAAAATTTTCAGAAATATCGATTTAGGTGACAAACACCCATCTGTTTTACTCCAACAAATGCAGGAATTTGCTGGACCTCCTGTTGGAACTGAATTATTAAAATCTTTGTAACTTTAACACCTTCCTGCCTAGATGCAAGCCATATTACCTCTTCTGCTATTGAACTTAAAATTGAAAATTAATAATCCTACTGATACAAGTGATGCTTTAGATAATTTGCAGAAACAAATATATGATTTACATAAAAAAGTAAATAACCTTTTCACATTGTATTCTCATGTTCAATCTCACTCTCATGGCCATTCTAATCCTAGATCTAGATTCTTGACCTTGAATAAACAAAAAGAAAAAGCATCCATCGAAGATGTTGTTAAATGTAACAACCCTTGCAATTTTAAACGAGAAAACTAGAATGCCAAAGCATGTGTGGCAACAAATGACATAGGCCAAAATAATTGCTGCCGCCTTCTATAAAAAAGAACACATTTTACTTTTACATAATACTCTTAAAAGAATGACATTTTGAAGAACATTCTTTTAAGAAACACTAAAAAAATGTGTTCTTAAAAGAATGACATTTTGAAGAACATTCTTTTAAGAACACATTTTTTTAGTTGACAAAGGAACTGATTTGTCTATCTTGCCTCCTGCTCTAATAGACAGTTTTAAACCACCTTTGCTCAATTTAGTTGCAGCAAATGATACAAAAACTGTTGTCTATAGAAAGCATCTAGTAAATTTAGACATACAGGGGTTGGACAAAAATATGGAAACACCTTTAAAAAAACATGTTTCTTTGCTTAATATGGTGTAGGAAACCCGTTGGCATCCAAAACAGCTTACAGTCTTCTCGGAATGGATAAATACAATTCCTGTATGTCTGCCAAGGGAATATTATACCATTCTTCCTGCAAAACGGTGGCAAGTTCAGATAACGATGTTGGCGGTGGATAACGAGAACGCATTTTCTGTTCCAATGTAGACCGCAAAGGTTCGATAATATTCAGGTCTGGTGACTGTGGTGGCCAGGGGAGATGGGACAACTCATCCTCGTGCTCAGAAAACCAGTCCTGGACAATGTGAGCTGTGTGAACAGGGGCTTTGTCGTCTTGGAAGATACCATCACCATCAAGGAACAAAGTTTGTACCATGGGATGAACTTGATGGGCCAAAATGTTCACTTGGTTCACCAAGTCTTGGCAGTCATGTGCCCTGACACAGTTATCATGGGGCTAGCAGAGAACCACGATATGGCTGCCCAAACCATAACAGAACCCCCGCCATGTTTCACTTTTGGCAACAAGCAGTCTGTATTATAGGCTTGAGATGGCGTTCTCCAAACGTAAACTCGGCCAGAAGTGGGAAACAATGTGAAAGAACACTCGTCAGACCATATTACTCGCTTCCACTGCTCTATAGTCCAGGCTTTATGACTTAAACACCACTTTTCCTGTTACGGGCATTAGCATCACTGATGAGTGGCTTCTCAATTGCAGCACGGCCAGAAATTCCCTGTTTATGAAGCTCCCTTCTAATTGTTTTGGTACTCACAGGGTTCGGTAACATAACATTCATTTCAGCAGTAACTTTTGCAGCTGTGGTCTTCTTATTTTTCGTCACAATTGCCCTTAATGATCGTCTGTCACGATCACTCAGGACACACTTTCGTCCGCGCTGTGATTTAGCAGATTATGTTTTTCCGCTTTTCAAATATGCGGAATAAATCTTCGATACAGTACCTCTTGAAACACTAAACACCTCGGCTACCTTGTTTACGGAAGCACCTACCATACATGCTCCAACAATTTGCCCACGTTCGAAGTCTGTTAACTCTGACATAATGCAATGACAACCTCACATAACAGTACTCCGACAACAACCGAACTGTTTAGCACATTTACGAAGTTGTATAGGTGGCGTCAGTAGTCAAAAACGCCAGCGCCACCTACATATTTCATTAAAATCAATCTTTCTTTTCAAACATGCATTTCACAAGGTG